AAGTTAAGAGTTAGCCACATAACAATTGAAAACCATTTGAACAAGCTCGGCTTTGTCTACAAATAGTGTCGTTGGATTCCCCGTAAATTAGGCGAAAAAAATATGGCAGATCAAATTTCTTCTTTTTTCCTTGCTCGACAACAATATGAGCTATTCTTGGATCAGCTGGTTACTGGTGACGAAAAGTGGATTGTGTATGACAATGTAGTGAGGAAAAGAACCAAGATAATGTCAGGCAGTTCGCCTCCTACTCTTGCGAAGGCCAATTTGCACCAACAAAAAGCTAATGCTTTGCATTTGGTGGGGTTGTCGAGGTCCTATCCACTGGGAACTGTTGCAACCAGATCAAACTGTCACAACAGACCTATATTTTGATCAGCTAACCCGACTGGATATAAAAATACGTGAACTTCGTCTAGCACTATGTAACCGAAAAGGTCTTCCAACATGACAATGCCAGGCCTCACGTGGCTTTAAGGACGAAGAAGAAGCTCCAGGCTCTTGGTTATGAAGTTTTATTACATCCACTATACTCACCTGATCTGACACCATCTGACTACCACTTGTTCCTCTCGATGCAAAATTTTCTTAACACGTTCATTGCCAAGCTGAAAATTGGAATTTCGTATTTTTTATATTTTTTCATTTAGTTTTTATTGTGCTCAAAATAAGTTAATATATTATTTATATGCTTTTATTATTATGTACATAGGATTTACGTACTCTAAATATCTATTACGCGATAACGCGTGATTGGCCGTTTTGTGAGAACTCGCATCACGTGATATAGCGTGATTGGCAATGAACGTGTTAAAGGAAAATATTTCGAAATTTTCAGGATGTCCAGAGGGCAGTGGTAGATTTCCTGGCTGCAAAGGATAGGATCTTTTATACATCAGGCATAAATGACCTTGTTTACAGATAGAGGAATATCATAGAAAACAATGGTCAATATTTCATTAATTAATCTCACTTATAAGCTTAAATATAAGAAATTGAAATTTCCTAAAAAAAAAAACGACATAACTTTCTTACCAACGTAATAATATATTACTAATTTCACTGAATTACTTTAACGCCATCTATTCCTTATCTCGAAGCGAAAACTTCGTTCGTTGCGATCTACCCTTCTCCATCCGCCCGCCCGTCCGCTCTTTTCCTCTTGCTGTCTTCGCGAAGGGGTGGAAGGGGTAGGGGGTGAATTTCAATGAAACAACGAAGAGCGAAGTTTAATCCGTAGATTGTTATTTGCCTGGGTCGAAAAACCGGGGGATCGATGAGACGATAGAGCGAGAGAGTTATTGCGGCGTCGAATCGTGATGAGCGCCAAGACTTAGCAGATACGCGGCCGGGACACGTTTGAAAAATACAATTACGGTATGATAATACGCTGATTTATGGCTCGGGCGAGATGCACGAGAAGCCGAGGGAGAGAGTGAATGGGAGCCTTTTCTCTCCTCTTCGTCTCGTGCGCTTACCTTGCTGGCACTACCAAAGTTTCCAATCTATAAGGTATCAACAGTTGCTCGTTGCTGCGCGTTGTACACCTCCGGGACTTACGATTTAGAATGTTGATATAACGGATGGGTGAGCAAGAAAAGCTTCCCGCCCCGCGCTTCGTCCCGCGTCGCGCCTTTTTCCACCGAGGCGCGAGATTGAAAGGCGAATCGAAATAAGGCGCGGAATTGAAACTCGCGACTCGAATTTCACACGCGCTTTCCCAGATATTTATATGTACACACACCGTGTGCTTCATTATGCACGCTCGAATGGTAAAACTTTTTCGCCGTATCGGCGAATTTTCCGTGGCCGAAGGGGGTCGCGCCAATCGTGGCCGCTAAGATTTCTCGCAGTCGACGTTGTCAACGTGAGAATATCGACGAACGGTCGCGGTGTTCCGTCGATCGACGGATTAAAACGTGAATAAAGTGAAACTGTGTGCTGTAAATTTCTCGAAATGAGATTTTTAGATAAGTTTCTTGAATGAGAAGTCTTGCTTAAATCGAGTGAAAATTCACCCCAAGCGGCAGCGAAAATATTACCACTCGCAACGGATTGGCGTTTTACCTTTTGCGAGAGTGAATGTCTCGCCTGAATGGTAGAGTGGATCCGAAATTTCGACTACTAGAACCCGTGTTCGCCGGTAATCGTCGCGGGATGATCTTATCAGAAATGAAACAGAGGCGATGTCGCTCTCTCGAACTTCCGAAACCTCGCGGAAGCGGACGAGAGACGAACGACTCTCTCGTCCTCCTCGCTCGTGCACGTTCCGCCGTATATACACCTTCGGGAGTCGCGCGATTCGGAATGTTGATATAACGGATGGGTGAACAAGAAAAGCATCGCGGCGGGATCTGTCGTTCCCTCTCTCTTCCCTCCCCGCCTTCCTCTCCCTCGTTCTTTCTGTCTTTCGCTCCCGCTCTCTTTCTCTCTCGCGGAGGGCCTCTCGCTCCTCTCTCTCCCTCTCTCTCTCTCGGGCGTTCGTATCCGGCAAAAAAGCAAAAGCGGGTACATTGAACCCGGCAAGAGTTCCGCCACACGTTCGCGCGAGGCCGTTTCAGTATTTGACTGTTCCCCGACGCCGAGCGGCGGTGCGGGTTCTCCTCTCCTCCGCTGCCCGACTCCCGTCGAGAGACGACAGAACGCCATAAGCAACCAATTTAAATGTAAATTGAAAACCACCGCGGCATACAAATTGTTCGACTCGCCGTCAAAAAATACTGCGAGCAAAGATCAAACGGAAGACAAGACACGGCGGCGGCGAGAGGGTGGCGTATATAGGGCCGATCGTCGAGATAGAACGAGAAAAGGTGCCCTGGAGAAGGCGGCGGTCGGTCGGTCGGTCGGTCGGTCGGCCGACCTCCGCTAGAACTGCCCTCTGCGTATGTGTGTATATAACTTGTCCCTCTCTCTTTCTCTTTCTTCCTCCTCTCGCTTTCCGCCCAGAAAAACCGCTACGGTGGTGGGCCGGTGGTGTTTATTCCACCCTACGGCGAAATCCCGCTACTCTACGCTAGACCGCCCTCTAAATATTTGCCTTCTCGTTGTCGCCCCGACAACGAGCGGCCGCGTAATACACGCGTGAGCAAGTTCTGCTCGAATAATCCTCGTCATCGTCGTCGACGGGGAAAATTATCGGCATTCGGAGCACGGGCCCCTGTTTCGCCGTCTCCTCTTTTGAAAAAAGAGAGAAAAAGGACGAGCCGAGGGAGGAGAACGAGAGAGAGAGAAAGAGAGAAGGGGGAGAGGGGGAGCCGACGTACGATCAGAAGAAGCGAGATTAATGGATCAGTTTATCCTCTCCATTAACGATTTCGGGTCCCGGCGCGGTCCGCGTCTCTCCCGAGCGAGGAATTAATTTCCCATTCCGAGTTAGACGCGCAGAACCCAACTTACCATAATTTTCGGTGGATTCGAATCGTTCTCCCGACCGACTGTTGAATATTCTCCCGCTTATTATGAACAGTTTCTGTAATCAACGTCAGACATAGTTGGAGTTGGCGGAGGGCTGCGGCGTGTCGAGCGGTAGCGCGCGCGATGGTCGCGTTAGGTTCGATTAAACTGGTCCGTGCTGCTGTTGCGTTCCTTCGGCGCCGGATATTTGTCTCGCGAGTACGATTCGCAGCGGCTAATTCATCGCGCTTGGGAACGTTTCCGGTTTTACGACATCGTCATAAATTTTTCACGGCTACGTCGTGTCGTGATTCATCGATTCCGGCCGGTTGAACATCGACAGCCTCCTCGCAGCCGAGAGGACGGAGGAGCGGATAGAACGCGTGCTAATCATTAACCGACGGCGGCCCAAGGTTGCGCCGACATTTCGTCGATTGTATCTTTCGCGGACGTTCGACACGGTCGCGCGTAATCAATATGTACGATGACGCCAGGCAGTAGCGGTGGCGATGGACCCCTCGAAAGGGGACGAAATATATTGCGGTAATGCATGTATATCCGCACGCACACAGATTCGTGTATCCGAAACGCGCTAATTTAAATTACCGCGCTTTCAAGCGCGCTCGGAGCGTAAATTTAAATTTCTGAAACAGGACGCGTCGATAGGATAGAGAGAGAGTGCTTGTTAGCACCGTGGTAGCCATTAACATAATTAAACTTCCCCTCCTCCCTTCCTAAGTGGAGACGCGCCTGTGTATCATTATTAGTACACACGCCTCGATGTTACCGGGGGGGTTCGCGAATGTGCTTACGAGAATTTAGGTTCTCGCCAGTCAGGTGGCCTGATTTAAGCGTAGAGTAACGCGAAATATCCAATTAAGTCATAATAGGGCCGCCTATTGCCGGCATCCGGCTGTAATGCGCCGTTACAGCGCGATATATACATATTTACGTTCGCGTTCACGAAGAGGTGCGAGTGGGAAGGGGAGAGAGGCACTGGATACGACACACAATGAACGCATGTAACGAACGACAGCCTCCTTGATTCGATCTACCTTCCGGTACGTAGCTGGAGAAGCAAGTGTGTATGTCACGAGTAGTACGTGCCATCGAAGAGAAATCAGCATATTGCTGAGAGAGAGAGAGAGAGAGACCTACGAAACCAAAGGGATGTATAACGAAACTCTTAACGCATCTACGACTTAGTTCGTTAAACGTGTCCCATCTCGCGTTCTAGACGTGACTTCTCCTTTCTTTCCTTTCGAGTGTCGATCATCGCCGAGAGACTTTTCCCCTGAGGAACATATTTTCCTTTAAGTAAACAGTAATATGCAGTGAATCTTCCACCGATCAAAGTCATTGAGCTATAAGCGGAAAAAAATTAAATGAGAATATTTCCACGGAAAACCCATGAATACTGACTGATGGTCGATGAGATATTGTTTTACCGATTCAATCAGCCTTCATTGATCCGCTTCCACTTAAGAGAGCACCCCTCTTAAAATCTCATGCTCTCACCTGGCCTCTCACGGAAAGGCCGGCTTTGATCTGCAGCAAGCATCGGAACAACTGCATCTTCTCATCCCTGCCTCTTTTCCTCTTTGCAGTCCGCAACGGTTATTCTTGCGTACCTGTTGCTCTCGCCGAAGGACTCGATATCCGTTTGAACACAGCCGCCAGGGCGGTGCGATACGGACCGAGTGGCGTGGAAGTGTGGGTCGCGCCCGCTCGCAGTCCGCACACGAGTCAAACCATCCACAAGGCCGACGCCGTTCTGGTTACGCTGCCGCTCGGGGTCCTTAAGGCTTACTCGCCGCCTTCCGGGGTCGCCTTCCATCCGCCGCTTCCGGACTGGAAGACCCAGGCCATTCAACGGCTCGGCTTCGGCAATTTAAATAAGGTGAGCGCCGACGTCTCTCCTGCCTATCCACCTCTTACATCCCAGTCTCCCGCTGTCGCCATAAAGCGGCCTGATTTATGCCGCTCGCGAGAAAGACAAGGCAAGAAGGGAGGAAGGGCTCGCTCGCTACTGTCGAGCGGGTGTAAGGGCATTAGGGCCTGCATAATCGCGCATTAAGTCTTATCACCGATCGCGCAGATCCTTCGGCGGTAATTAACGTGCGTTCTTTCAACGAGACCAACCGATCGAAGGGCGCATTCGGCCGCGTTCGGCGTACGTCGATTCGATTAAGGAATACGGATCGTAACGGTTAAGCGGTTACGGGATCGAGAGAGACGGGCTCGAGAGGCGGGATTTCTTTCAGAGAACGCGCGCGGATCGCTACGAAGGACTTATCGGGATATCCGTATCTTCCGAGGTGTACAAAGATTAATTGCTGATTAGTTGAAATCGTCATTCCGGCACGAAGATATATACTTTACGCGTGTTTTTCGAGCGTGGAATCAGGGCGAATATCCGCGCGGAGTCACGTCACTGTTAACCTATTTGCGGGTGAATTTGTTACAATTAAAAATGAATAATTTAATTTAAAAATAACAACGGTGGTATATCCGTTAATCGTGCGATGAGATTTCTCTTTTCCCTCCGGAACTTTGTGATTTGAATCTTTATTCACACCAGTAATATCTACGTAATCAAGCAACTTCCAACGAATGAAGATCGGTTGATGGTTGTAGTTGGCGAAATTTTGCACACGTTGTGTTGATGTTTTCCACATGTAATGTGGCCAGTCCTTCTTTCTTTTCTTTCTACAACGAGCGGAAAGCGGCGTAGAAGCACCGGGAAAGCACGTCTATTTCGGTCCGCGCGTTTCAGCTCCCCGACTTTCTTAATCCCCGCGCTTTTTCCCCCGCAACTTCTCGCACACAGGTGGTGTTATGCTTCGAGCGCATCTTTTGGGACCCAACGGCCAATTTGTTCGGCCACGTGGGAAGTACCACCGCGTCGCGTGGCGAGCTCTTCTTGTTCTGGAACTTATACAAGGCTCCGGTCCTCTTGGCCCTCGTCGCCGGCGAGGCAGCTTGCGTAATGGAAAATGTCAGCGACGACGTTATCGTCGGCCGCTGCATCGCCGTCCTCAAGGTAAGTGGATGAAGTTTCTAGCCGGCGTAAGGATGAAGAAAGGAGCGAGCGGGAGGAGGCGGACACATCATAGCTGGTGTTAGAGCTCAGACACAATGAAAGGAATAAGAAACATGGAATTAAATATACAGAGTGTCCCAAACTAATCTCGGTCCCCGTGCAAGTAGAACGGGTGAAACTGAAAAGTCTTACACCATTTTGCGAATAACACGCAAAATTTCGAGTTATCAATGATTGAAAATGGCCGTGTATAGAAGCTTCTTTAACTAATAACTCAACAATTTGCGTGTTATTTGCAAAATAGTATAGAACTTTTCAGTTTCACTCGTTCTACTTGCGCACCACGGGAACCGAGATTACCACAGCAAATGTGAGCACATATATCTGTTTGCTGCGGCACAGGGCATTTTCGGTAACCAAGTGGTACCGCAGCCGCGCGAGAGTGTCGTGACGAGGTGGCGTGCGGATCCCTGGGCTCGCGGCTCCTATAGTTTTGTCGCAGTCGGCAGTTCCGGCAGCGATTACGATCTCCTGGCTGCACCGGTCGCGTCTCCCTCACCGTTAGTCAATCATCCACCGGGCGCAACCCCGCCACAGCCGAGGGTGTTCTTCGCGGGTGAGTATCGGATAAGCTTTGATGTGAACCTTTATTGAATAAAAGAGGAGGAAGCGCGCTTCTCAAGTATTTGATAGAAGATCGAAGTGAAAAAATCCCGAATCGACTATAAGTGTGCCTGACTGACAAACACGAGATCGCTGGTTCGAGCCTCGATGAGTGTTTTTTAATCAAAATATATATATTTTTTAATAAAATAATTGTAAATCACAAGGGCTTGTATATTTTCTCTATTTTCTCTATTTTCCTTTTTTTGCACTCTGCCTTGAAAATTCGTTTTCGGAATTGTCATCTTTTAAAAATAAAATTACTTCAAGATTTTTTTCCAATTTTTGGTCCTGATTGATATCTCGATCTCAGGTGACTTTAAGAACATTATTTTGTATTGAATCCTTTTTATTGTGCCTATTTGATTTTTAGAAAATGTGGTGTACATTTCTCGGCTGTATGTATGCTTGTATAGTGAAAAATGTATGTTATAAGAAAGTCACGGTTTGGCCGTTCAGATACCAGTGAATAGGGTGACTTAATATTACAAAATATTCTTTTAGAAGATGCAAAAATTTATTTCAATAAAAAAAAATGCATTTAAAGAAATGTACTTTTTCGATATGAAAACATTTTTCTCTCAGTGCAATTTCAACGAGGAGGAGAGCATAGGTTGACTTAGATGAAACGGATGGATTTTCAGGTGAGCACACTATACGGAATTATCCGGCGACGGTGCACGGCGCATTCCTTAGCGGTCTTCGCGAAGGCGGCCGTATAGCCGACCAGCTTTGCGGGAGTCCTTACGCGCCGCCGACGATGCCAGCTTCCGCTGTTCCGCTGTCGACCGGGATCGCGCAGGCGAATACCGGCACCAGCTCGACGTCTTAGAGTGTTTTCGCGCGCGGGCTTTCGCGCGCTTTTTGTCTTTCCTCGGGCCGGGGAATATATCCGGGGACAGCCGTCTTTCCGAACGTTCTCTTCGCGGAGCTTTTCTCCGTAAAGTAAGGGAGAAGGGAAAATTCCCCTCGACACAATTCGAGTCTCTCACGCTCGACGATCCAATTCGCCGACAAGCGCGCCCTCGTAGATTCGTTCCCCGATGGGACATCGGCGCGATTTTTAGCTCGGCGTTTCCTCGTCGCACGACATTGTGACGTCACGTACTCTCTAGATTTTTCGGAGAGCGAAGTTTTACACGAAACAAGTGAAAAGTTCATTCGAAACGATGACAAAAACATCGCCGCTCGGAAATGTCATGAGCGAATGCTCGAACTCAAAGATTGAGTCTCGATTTTCTTGAGTTAATGTCTCGATCGATCGGAGTAAATTTGTTCTAGCGAAGTGCGTTAAATTTACCTTTCAATTTCGAATGGAAATTCACATTTGAAATATTAGCGAAGAAAGGTGAATAAAGAAATGAATAAATCGAGAAATTTTTTTACGTTAATAGAAAATATTCACTCGAATATTACGTTAATAGAAAATATTCACGTTCCAGAGTGGAAAAATTCGCTCCAGAGGGGCGAAAGTCGTTCGATTTTTCGAGTGGGATTTCATTCGCGAAGAAATTCAAAGAGTCACGTTGAAAATGTTCATTGCGTCCAACAATAATCGGCAGACACCATTCAAACGCTTCGTCCCATCTCGCCCCGTCTCTACGAGTTTCAATTAGTGTCATTTTTCATAATCCCGATTTCTTCGTATTAATTACAACGTAAATTAAGTGGTCCTTCCTTTCCTCCCGCATATATTCCGTTTTGTTTATTACATTTTTCCGATTCACATATTATATGCTTCCCATATTAACTTTATCTATGCATATTAATCATTGTCGTAGGTCGTTGCGTGTCTCGCGTTTTCGCAAGCGAGAAGTATTATCATTATCATTTTTTTATTATTATTATCATTACTATTATTATTATTATTTATAAAAGCATTCCACAATGTTCATCGATCGAGTAAGAGAGAGATAACGCTAATCTCCCGTTAGCCAGCTACCTGTGCGAATACAAGCGCGAATATCTCGAATATTTCAAAGAATGCTGAATATCGCGAAGCGATATTTTAACTGTAAAGTTAAAGATGATTTTGTGAGTGCAGTATTACGTCGTGTGCGATGATGGTCGAAGCAAACCGGGTTGTGGACCGGACACAGTTGTGTTCACGTTTAATTCGTAGTTTTAACGTAGTACGATTATTTGCGTAACGTTGCCGTATTGCGGCGTACATATATGTGTGTTAAGCACTGCACACGCATTTTATAACCTTTCGGGACTGATTCCATTTTCTTTTTTTTTATTCGCCATGTCTTCATTCTGTGCAATCGCGTTGCTCGGAACACTTTTATTCACGACGCTCGTTTGTCTCTTCGAAAAAAACATGATCATTACGAGATAATACCGTGATCGTAAAATAATAAAACAGCTTTATAACGCATTTTGTTGCGGAGAGATCGATATGCAAATATCGAACGCATATACGTTGCATTGCCGCCACGAGCGAGCCCAGATAATGTTAAGTACGACATAAAGATGTCTTTTAGACAATGAAATGTCTAAAAGATTCCCTTGAGACGCTTTTCAGACGTGTATGTTGTTTGGGAAGTGAGTATTCCGACATTTTCACTCCATCGTGCCGACCTTGCACGTGATTACGAAGAGAGGCGGATGTAATGAACAATATCGAAAAATAATCAGGCTGCGAAACCGATTACGAGATTTGACGTACGTATATATGTATATTCGCGTGCGTGTGTATGTGTGAGTGTGGATAATATATATATATATATATANGTATATATATATATGTATATATATTACAATTAAACAGTTGTTTTGGACGATAAAATTCTTTTTCTTTTCCCAATCCCCTAAATCAAGCTGTTTGAAAAGTTTCCGGCCTACTATATAAAGGTTAGTATCGTCTTTCTATTTTTTTTTATTGCATTGTGGCATCACATCCGCCCACATACGAACAGTTGTGAAGTATCAAGTAGATTTGCCAAATTAAGTTAGTTAAAAACAGTTGTATAAACAAATTCACCTCGGTGCATTGTTGAAAATAGAGAAAATCAATTATCGTGCAGTGATCAAATATTTCGCCAAAAGAAAAGGAAAAAAGAGTATTGTAGACAGGTTGCCGATCCCATCGCATCCGTTTACTTTTACGTTGCAAATCGAAAATGAGAGAGAAAGAAATCTTTATCGGAGCATGGAATCACATCGTCGAAGTGAAGCGAACGGGAGGTCTCTCGCTTTTGAATTTGCAATCTTAGTTTAATCTATCATATCTAATAACGTGCGTGTTATTTATGTAGCAACCACACACTCTCTCTCTCTCTCTCTCTCTCTCTCTCTTTCTTTTCCTCCTCCCTTCCGTCACAGATTTCCTATCTAATTTCGGAATATTGAATATTCGATCATTCCGGTACGGATATTACGTCGCATGAGTCGCCGCGGGCATGTTATTTCGAGCTGTAACGGATCTAAACCAATATCAATACTGACTTGGAGATACATTTATCAAAATTCTAAAGCTGTCATGGTAATCCACATAGAGTATCCCGCGGCCGAATGTGAATATTATAATTTATGATGACGCGCAGAATTGCCGTTATCACATATTTTCTGCGAGAACGGAGCAGGTTAGGTTTCCGGACTGGGGATGAATTTTTCAAGTACTCGAAATGAATCTCATGGGAGAATTTTGTTCCCTTACGTACATTATTATTGTATACGGAAAAAACAGTCTGGTTGACTGATACAGAAATCGAATGGTGCCAACTAGATTTAGTTGTAAAATATGGAACAATTAGCAGCAGTGATGGGTATCTCCAACCAAACTTTCATGATATTTCAACTACAAATTTTTTAATGGGTAAGCCATTGAAAATTTATCATGTAGCGATAAAATTACCTAAAGTCTGTGACCATATCGTTTCTTCTATCTATCTCCGTTTTCCTCTCTCTCTCTCTCTCTCTCTCTCTCTCTCTCTCTCTCTCTCTCNCCACCCTCTTTCTTTTCCTTTCTCTTTTGCTCTCTCCCCCTCTCCTTATCGTTATCTCTTTCTACCTCTCTCTTTTTCGCTTCCTCAATCCGAGAAATATTGGTTCAATGAAGAGGTATCGTCATAGCAACCTAACACACTAGCTAGCGAAATCGAGGTGACGCATCGAATTCGTCGGGCGACAGTCTCGAAAGGGTGCCTATGTCTGCTTGTACTCGGTATTTCTATTGCTTTTACATTGTGCTAAAAAATACTTCGTACTTCCTTCTGCGAAAATATACCGCGATTTTCCGGGAACGAAGAAGAATCCTTTTAATGTGTCCAGCACCGTGAATGTACCTTACGGATACAAGTTAGAACGCAGAACGCAAGCCGGTACGTCGCAAAGTACCAATATAAATTCACGTAATCTACTCTCAAGTATGCCGAAGAGCGATGGGAAGACAAGAGGAACTACGAACAGGCTCTCAAAATTGTGGAGTTTGAGAAGATCGATCGGAAAATCGAGAGTAAAAGTCTACGCCGACGAGTCCAACAAGGTATCAATGAAAATCGCTGACGAATGCGCGATTTTCCACTTTCTTTTTTAATTAGAATTATAAATTTTGTTTCCTCCAATCAAAACGCTTTTGTTTATTCTGTTGTTAAGCAGGTCCAACCGAACTCATTTTTCAATATCATGTTTTTTAAAAGCAATCAATGCGAAATCACAATATACACTGCAGTGTGGATCCGGCTGCAGTAGTTTTCATACGTTAACATTTGATAATTTCTCAAATATTTATTTTAACAGAAACACATATTACAAACAGCCTGCAAAAGGATATCTCACATTTGATTGATCCCCACACCTGCGGCAACAAGTTAAATATCACCGATAATCATTTCACAGGTTTGAGCATTTTCACCTCCCTTAATTGATACGCACGTTTCACCCCGCAAAGTTAACGAACATCCTACGTGGCCAGGAGAGTCGAGGAGGAGGGTGGGGAATACCATGGGAGAGATAGGTGAAGGTGCGTTAATATCTCCTATCTATTTATCACTTCATTTCACTCGGCATGCATAAATCCGCATTATACGTCTGCCGTGGCGCGTATGACATATAGTTCGCAACCGGGCGGCCGCGCGCTAAACAGACATGATTACTAGCCGTTAAGGGTCCTTTCTACTTTGCAACCTGGAAGAAAAGGCACTTTTTTGTAATTTTTATTTTGACAAAGTAAAAAAGATAGACAAACCATTCTCATCGTACCATATAGAGAAAAAATGATGGAATGAAATAGCGCTACCGGCATGCGCAACGGTGTCATTAATTGCTTGTAACTCCACCGATCTTCCGAATTCGACTTTATGACTTTAACATAACGATGTACATGCTCGAGGCATTAGAATTGTGCAAAGAAAAAAGAAATCGACTTTTCCGCCCTTACAAGGTAGGAACCCTTAACGCGACAACGATTGATCCGCCAGGCGTGTCGGCGTACGAGGAGGGTCTGCGGATGCGTCGGCGACGGCTGCGCGATCTCCTGCTGGACGAACAGTCGGATCTGTCGTGGCAGCTCACGGAGGGGGCGCGACGCACCGAGGTCGCTCGGGCCGAGGAGGCGCGCGCGGCCGCGGAGGAGCTGCGGGATCGACGGGAGCGCGAGCGAAGCGCATACGTCGCTGCGAAACGGCAGCAACAGTGCTCGGCCTCGTGTCAGGTTGCTCGCGAGGAGTACTCGAAGGGATGCGCGATCAACGCGAAGCTAAGCAATATCGCGCAAATCGCGGACAACGAGGCGAGGAAATCGGCGGCGAGGGAACTGGAGGCGCTGTGGCGGCGAGCGACGCAGCGCCGACTCGAGACGGAGATGCTGCAGGAGATGCGAGATTCGGCGAGGCGAACGTCAATGCGCCTTGAATTGGCCCGCGCTTTGGCCGAACAAGTGGCCGAGAAGTCGGCTGTGCAGGAGGAAGAAAAGCGGAAGCTCCGGCAGAGCGAGCTCGAGCGGTCGGAGCGGCTGTGCGAGGAATCGCGTCTCGCGGACTCGCGGGATCTCCAGCTGCGCCGGCAACGGCAGCGGGAGCTGAAGAGGGAGCTTGAGGAGGGGATGCTGGCCGCGCGGCAGCAGCGGGAGGAGCGCGCTCGCGAAGAAGCCGCGGCGGAACGTGCCGAGAGGGCGATGTTCGAGGAGAGATCGACGAGGAACGTCGGGAGCCTTCGGACGGAGTCAACGGCGTACGTCGGGTACCTGGAGGACCTTCGGCGGGACGAGGTAAAACGGGAGCGCGAGTTAGAGGCCGTCGTCGAGTGTTTGCGCGCGGACGCCGAGGCTAGACGCGAGCTCGCGCGCAGGGAACTCGAGGAGGCCCGCGAACGCGGCCTGCGGAAGGTCCTCCACGCTCGCGAGGAACAGGTGAGGGCCCGGCGGGACGCGCAGGCGACGGAACGGCGGCTGAAGGCGGAGGAGAGGGAGGCGCTCGAGAGGCAGATCGAGAGCGACGCCAAGTTGATCGCGACGGAGAAGAGAGAGAGCGAACAAAAGGCGTATCGTTACGGGCTGGAGCTGAAGGAGCAGCAACGGCGTCTCGTGAAAGCGGAGGAGGCCGAGAGGGAGGCGGGTTGAGAGGATGCGTCGGGAGACGTGTGACGCTTCCAGGAAGAACGCGCGGTTTCAGGCGCCTTCCTGCCGCCTCTTTTAAAGCTCCCTCAAGTAAGAGTCCGGTCACTTCCGACCTTTCGACAGAAGATGGCGTCTGATTTGTCGATAGAGTATCTTCGTGAAGGATATCTACAGTATATATCGAGTATATTTTCCTGAAGATACGGTATATCCTGAAATTAGACCGACGAACTTCGGACGTTTATAAAAGGCACTGAAGCACGAGGGTGGATCAAATATAAACGAGCCTTTTGCAAAAAACCATATATTTTTCAAAATCAATTCTAATTTATATTTTCCTTATTTTTCTACATAGTCCCCCATCTTATCTATACACTTCCTCCAACGGTCTGGTAATTTTTTTAATCCCGATATCATAAAAAGTTCGCGGACGTGTATCAAACCAATTGCACACGAATTGCTGCACCTCCTCGTACGTTGTGAAGCGCTATCCATCAAGGACTTCCTTGAGAGGTCCAAACATATGGAAGTCGCATGGTGACAGGTCTGGACTGTAGGGTGGATGTTTTAGGACAGCCCAGTGCATATCGGCCAATTTTTGTTTTGTTACTGCTGCGGTGTGGGGTCTGGCGTTGTCATGGAGAAGCAACACACTTCTGATCGGAATGCCGCGTCTTTTTGACCGATAGGCAGCCCGAACTGAAGTTCCTGAGAGATTTCAAGAACAATTAAGTGCCAACCGCCTTCGATGAGTTCTCGAATAGCCTCTGTGTTCTGCGCTGTAATGCTGGTGCGGGGACGGCGAGAATGTTTTCAACACGCTCCCGTCCTTTCTTAAATTCGTTACACCACTGGTTTCACCCGAGCCCATGAAAGGGTTTTTTCCCCGAACTGTGGAAGTAAACGGCGCCGAATTTCGGCAGCGTTTACATTTTCGTTGACGAGAAACTTAATAATAACACGTTGTGCAACTGCGGAGTGTACCTCTTTCTCGCTCATCGTGATTGCTGCTAAGAGTAAGAAGCACGTGGCGCGCCAACGTTATTACTGCCTTCCACATGACCCCCCTTCACTGTCCAAAACGTTGCAGACCCCTCACGCCGCCGACGGGCGCGCAATTTAAAAAGGCCCGTTTATATATTGGGTCCATCCTCGTAAATAAAATTTGTCAATAAATTTATTTCCGTAAATGAGCTGTTTTGGCATTAGAGTGCATTATTTACAGCAGCTGTTCGACGTGTCGGCCACTTACATCTGGCTTCCCTATAAATAAGATGTTTACTTGATTTGGAGCATCGCTTTGAAATCATTCCCGATGACAGTAGGCTGTGGGTGAGTGTGTATGATCGATTAGCGAATGGCTTCTAATAAATTTATGAGGATGCGTGGTCAAAGATTGACCTCGACATTGGACGAACACGATATAGTCGGTATTTTTAATTATCCCGTACTTTTAAAGGGAAACGTGACGAAATATCGCATCGAGCTCAACAGTGTGAATATAGAATTCGACGCTATTTATATATTGTACATTCATTTTCGCACGCTTCCACGGTACAGATTATAATGGAACTCTAAAAGAAAGAAAAAAAACATCTAGAAATTCGTGCGAAGGCCGTGCGAACATCATCGGAATACTCAGTGACGCGCGACTCTGCCGATCGAAAAAATACGCTCTCTCCTCCATAGAATTCAACCAACAGCTGGCGTGCCAAAGCAGCGGCTTCTGTACCGATCGTTTCCTCCGTGTTCTCCGCTTCTACCATCCGTCGGATGCTGCGAGACCTCAGCAACGTTGCTTAAGCGGTGCCGGTACGCGTTTATCGACGGTGGCATTCTGCCGCAGCGCGGCGTAGCGTGATAGCGGCGGCTTAACGCATTGATGCACAGATACGAGCACAGGTTACTGTGGCTGTTGCTGCAACATACTTCATATTAAAATCTTATTTTTCGCCACAAAGGAGGCAAATTCGACCGACGCAAAGAAATTTGCCACGGTCTAGCGAGCGCGCCTCTCGTCACCGGGCATCCCCTAATGATCTCGCGGTGTGCGCATATCCACGTACATCCACACACCCGTACATACATATGTATCAGGGGGCCGAATGAAAATATCAGTCCGGATCTGGTCCATTAAAATATTTAATAAAGGTTCCGATTTCCGGTTCCATAGGCTTTATAAAATTTCGGCACGGTTTACGGTTCCGGTCCGACAAAAGTACATGTCCACACGGTTTTCATACGGTTTTCGGTTTCGGTTCGGGTCCTGTTGCTGTGTGTGTATATGAGAGAAATTACGATGAAGGCTTAAACGGATACAATCTACCGCATTATGGAGTACTTCGCCGAGGTGCCGACATGCAATGTATAACGCGCAGCCTCATTCTTCCGCCCTCCTTCTCCTTTGATATTTCGAGAGAGAGAAAGAGAGTGAAATGTGCATTATATATTAATATGTGTACCGTGCGTTAAATCAAGATTTACACTGCAATTGTGTAGGCGCAATTGTGTGAGCGCGATCTGTGCGACATACAGAACGCGCACGACCAGTGTATAAATCTTCATTAACTGCGGACAAGTGAGATCGTCTGGTTTATTGGACGTGATGCGCTCCTCCGGGTAGAAAGCTAAAAGATATCTTCATACCGGCGGTGAATATTCCTAATATAACTTGCGCCTCAGATTCCGATTGATGTCGTGTTTGACGATGGATCAATGTCCTCTGGACTGGAAACGTACTGATTCCGCGGAGATCGCGAATCCGCCTCGCACTGATTTCACCGTCCACTGATTATTTTGAATCCCACCTCCTTTTTGTCAACAATTGCAACAATTACCAGGTTGATTTGAGGCAGAACGCATGAGCGAAACGAAGCGGTCGGGAGGTCCGTGGACAAAAATTGCCAAGTTGGACGTGTCCAACTTCTCACCCTCGAATGATACTCTTTCGCCCTTTCTGCAATTTGTTACCTCGCGACTTCTCTCCGCTCGCTCGATCGCGAAAGAATGACGTTTCGCACTGAACTGCCTTCTATTTAGGCCCGTTTAAAGAGGAATTCGCGAATTATAGGCGTATCTCGGCCGACCGATATTTCCTCTTCAGCACGATTTCACCCGGATGATACACACCGGTCGACTTTCACCCTCATATCGTCGAGTATTTCACGCTGTGGGTGTTGCTCGTCTCGCGTCATATTCGTCAACACGAACGTGGATAGGCACGTCAGTTTAATACTATAGATGACCCGCTACGATGATTGATCGGATGCCGGCTTGAACAGCGGCGGTTTGTCTCGAAATTCACCCCAAGGAGGTTAGAGGGTTGCGCTCGGAGCGCCGACCGATTGAGTCTCGGAGTTTCTCTCTCGCAAGGTCGCGCCGGGGTCGCAAGGGCGACCCGTTCAGCTCGGGATCGGCTAAAGCCGCGGGCGACGTCGACGCCGCGTTACAGGGGATCTTCCCCCTCCCCGACGAATTATTTCGCTCGGTTGCTCGAAGACAGCCGCGCGTACGCGGCGATTATTAGTAGCCGACGGGGCCTCGAGGACAAACGGGACAAAGGTGAAGCGAAAGGAAGAAGAGACACAAGGCGATGACGACGACGAGGACGACGATGCCGGGAGAGGCTTGAGGGGCGGTGAGGCGAAGAGACGTTAGCTAGAAGACAGAAGGGCGGAAAGGAAAAGCGAAAGAGCCGGTCGGAGAGACGGCAAAAGAGAGAGAGAGGGGAGGAATAGAAAGAGAAAACGGAGAGGGTTGCGAGAGAGCGAATGGACTCTGCCTCGAGGGATGTTCTTTTGACAGTCATGTCGCTGTCGTCTCCTAAGGTCCCCCGGCGGCATTGCATTAATCTTCTTCTTCCGACCCCGCCTTATTGAAAATTCTACAGAGCGCTTCACAGTTTTTGCCGCGGCGGACGGTCTTTTATACCCCACCACTACCACCACCTACCATCTTCGTCGTCCTCACACCCGCTCGCTCTAACTTAAGTATCCCCATTCTCTCGCTCACTACCCCGTGCTCGTTTCGTCGTGCGTCTCTCGTGTCACCCCCGTGGAGAGAAGCGTCTTTCCCATCTCTCCCCTCCCTCTACCACCCTGCTCGGCTGCTGGCCAGCCGGTAGTATCCGTCAACGTGGACGCGTCGGACGCCTCGGCACACAATGATCGATAACGTTATCAATCACCACATCGGTAAGTCTCTCTCCAACCCCCATCGCGTGGCGGCGGTGGCAACGGTGGTGGCGGCAGCGGTGATGGTGGCAGCGGTGGTGAGATAGCGGCGGCGGCGACGTCGACGCTCGCATTCCGCACACCTCGGTGACCGCGAATGCCCGGAAGTGCGCGCGTCCGGCTCTCGATAAACGCGTAGAGGCCGCGTCGAGAAACGGGAGGACCCCCGCGAGGAGGAAATAGAGGAGGGAGGGAGCGAGCGTTTCGATTGCGCGCTGCGCAACGGCAGAAAGCCGTCGGATTAATTCCGCCGGGGATGCACGCGGGACGCGCTCCGGGATGGCGGCGGTGCTTTCGGGTAGACTTCAACGAACAGTGGCTCGACCGGAAGTACTGGGGGAACGGCGCGCTGGGGATGGGAATTAGAGAGCGATAAGTAGCGATACTATCCGCCGTGGATAACTCGTGTCCTCCTCTCTGTGTAGGTTGTCGTCGTCGTTGCGGATTCGAACAGAAGCGGCGACACACTTATGGGTTTCTCATTTGGTGAAATTAACACTTTGAAGCACTTAATTTTCCTCTTGTTTTATTTTTCATCAAATTTGGCTCACCCGGGAGGGTTTTGGACTTCGCTGATCACGAATCTGAGGTTAAAATTGAAAAATTTTTCAACTTTGAAATCCGGAATTGGCGCGGAACAATCTTTTTCCGTTTCTTTCTCTCTTCCTCTTTCTCTCTCTCTCTCTCTCTCTCTCTTAGTCGCGAAATCCAACAATAACAAAATTTGGTGCGCATAGCTTTAACCCATTTCAGCGAAGAATTCAAACTATC